GCCGTTGAAAAACTGTCCAAATATCTTCAGCCAATTCGCTAACATCAGTAAAGCGAACCACTTCCTCGTTGAATATATCCGAGTGGAAGGCCACAATGTGACCCTACGCATTCAAGTAAAGTTACTTTAAGAACAACAGTTGAGCAAAAGCACTTCCTACTCTAAAGCACCCGAACAATTCGCGCAATTTATCATCGCTACCAAGCAATGACCATGCAAACATAGGTGCCACAGTTTCCATGACATCGTAAAACTGCTTCAGGAACCCGTCTTTCACCTAAGAATAGAGAACGTATTAAACTGATCGTTTCATGCAAGAGCTGACCACGTACCGTTAAACGGTTGCGTTTTGACGCGATTACGGATGTCGCAATGGAAGCCAATATCTAACCACACTTTTTACATAGCGTCAAAGCAGAGTAAAACAAAGCCATACCTTTTCTTTGGTACTACCTGGTAAAATTGGATTTCTGACAACTGCTAATATAGCACCGGGAGGGTGGGTCATTTCGTCCATTGCATCCAATATTATAAAATCAGAGACCACGTCATAAAAGCTCAACATAGGCACCTGAATAAGAAAACTATCTGTGAAAAATTAAAAAAAGTTTGAATTGAGGACCCTGCGCTCCCCCAACTCCGAAGCAATCCGATGTTCATTTTGGCTGTCCTTACAAAAATCAATTAGCCGATCGTAGGCACAGCAAAATTCTTGCACACCCTACACACGAAATTATGGTTCGATCGAGCACAGAAGATTAATCAACATTCGCACCGCATTTGCCTGCTTCAACATACAGCATAGTAGATTTCTGATCGCCGTAATAATCCATTCGCGTTTACCGGAATCTTCAAACAACATCTAAAAATGAAATTAGACACTGCGTGAACGCTTAGCTGAATCTGCGCCATAAGCTTTAAAGGAAAGTAGGAAAATGGAGTGACAGCGCAAGCACAACAGATAAGGCAGCATCGATGGTTTAAACCTGTTTCTTAAGGGACGACTAGGGGCTGAAGAGCTAGAAAGGAATACCGCCCTTACGGGGACACTAAGGTCCAGGTCGGGCAATAACGTTGACAGGAAATGGAAGTGATGGGAGCTACAGTGATCTGAATGAGTAGTATACAAGCGGGAGGCGAGAAAAGCAGCGGGAGGAACGTCACGCACTGGACCGCCGTCCCTCCGCTCCACCTTTAACCGTCAACTTTTTCCGGTGGTCGGGGGAGAGCATTCAGCTCAGGAGAAACGGCGACGTCAGAGCTCCGAAAGGGGTAACAGCGAGCCAGATATTGAGAAACACTATCTTAAACAAAGAAAGCGATTAAATGAACGAAAATTACACCCACTGTTTTTCCCATCGAAAAACACAGTTTCACGTATAACTCAGAAAAGAGCAACACAAAGGCCAAGAACTGAAAGCAGAAGCAAAGGAAACAACCAAAAACGAGGCTGATTTTTTACCATTTTCATTCTCGAAGTCAGCGTATCGGGAAACATTCTTAAGCGTAAACACAGCAACTCAGGAACGAACGTCTAAATGTGATATCCATATTTTAATTTCATTAAGAGAACTAGCGTTAATTAATATACAAAAAACAACTCAGTAATGGGTTACAGAAATCAACGTGAGTTCAGACTAGTCTAATAGACGCAAATGATAATGATTCTACGGGCTGGCAACCCCTTCTGAATTTTCTGAACAAGAACTTCATTTCTGGGAAACTGTTAAATGAAAATTTTTTCCAATCCTCGGTAAGTCGAAGGGACGCTCTTAACTAGCTTCTCTCATGAAACAATGCAGGGAAGTTTTACAGCAGAACATCCGGAACTTTACGTCTGTGTCGTAACATAGAAAGGGATGAAAATTTCAACCGTGGATCACAAGAAACAACATGCAACCAAATAGAAAAACGGTACAGCATAAAAATTCTAAAACGATTCATAACTAAAAGAATCACCTCCAAACATTACAACGTAAAAAAGGGTTACCTCCGTAGCCTTTCTTATGCAATAAAGCTTCGCTAGGAATTCTTCGTCCGAGCTGCAGTTAACCGCTTCAGTCCTAAAAATGGCCAAAAATAGACTCCCGCATCCGCGGGTTCAGTTATCCGCGATTTCTCTCTCCTCCGCCCACGCAAATTAATATTACGCAATTTACAGCTACAAAACCGGTTCCTGGCATTTCTGCGTGTGCCAATCGAATTAATCATCAAAAATAATCCTATTGATGGAGTTATCATGAGTTTCCACGCCTTTTTATGACAACGCCTACACTCTTTGTTCGGACGAGCAAGGTTGCAAGCATCGTGCGATTCCTCATTGCCAGAGGACGACAAGCTAGTGGCATACTATGCTTCTTTAGCGATGATTCACAGAGCCACTACTGCGCACTAAGTATTCGATAAATAGCCGCGCAATATTATGAGCCCCATTCAAAGAAAGCTGTGAGACAGTGTTTCAGTGTCTGCGTTTGGACTGACACCTGGAGGTTACGAGGCAACGAAACACCGTCCAACTTGGGATGCTGTGGCAGCATGTGAATCAGACCTCCGGGCTCGATATCTGCGTTCGCTCGCAGACTTCTTACGAGGAGCACTAGTTCACTGATCAGCAACCCTGAGGAAACACCGGTTCCATGGTACCCTACCAGCAAAATGTTAGTGTCAACAAAAACAGACTTATTTTTGCACGAATCTAATATGTATTCAAATCAAAGACACACTGCGTACGCGTTCGTAAGCATTCGCTATTATCTGCAGCCACCTCTGGATCGTATCCCCGCGATACGGAGGTTCCGTACATAACAGTGGCAAACTAAACAATGATTAATACAACTCTTGCAAAATTCATAACAAGCACAGTACAAAATATGAAGGCAACAACGTATGCAATTGATAAGTACAAATTCGAAACTTTTGCGCAGAAAAATATATTCGTAGTTGCAAGAAAGGATAACTCAATTCCACGAAAACAAGAATTCTAGCAATAGGAAAAATAGGAGGCTCAGGAAATAGGAATTTAGAATTAAAGCTGATAAATACAGGATACTGATTCTGTAGTGAAGAACATGATGCTGAGTTATGTTATTGAAACGTTGACAATCCGTAAACGAATACTGCCCAATTATTAATAGTTAACAAATATTACGAGTCAGACTATTTGGAGCATTACCTAAGCTTTCGACAAGCCACATCACCCATTCCGACATGGGCCAGTGCTTCGTGATATAAACGCATGTAGCGAACGCTAAAATCTTTCCCAGTTTCAAGTAAGTGTTCAGATTCTAGCGTTTCGACAGTCTACGAAACGAGAATTTTAAACAGGGAAACAATAGTTACCCTATTACTCCCTCCACTGCGGAAAAATAAGTTTCGTCAGAAAAAACGGACATTGTGTTTTCCGGTTCTTCTATGACAGTGTTTATGCTGCTTCCTGATGTATCCGGCACGCTGCAGCACTAACGAATAATCATAAACGTACCTGATTCGGCGACCATCGCATCAGCACCGCTTATTGAGAAAGTAGGACAAAATATGAGAACATGACTAACTGAATCGCACAGCCTATATGAAACCTGGAGTAGTTCCCTTAATTGAACGGCTAGATTTTGAAGGCCTCCTAAACGGTCGATTGTAAATTGGAATTACCAAGCAATGCACAACCTTCCTCCGCATGATCGACTTGTTCCACAAATTCACATGCTCTCTCCCAAAAATGAATAGCTTTGATCAGGCTCTGCATGCCTGAAAGAATCCTTTTAAATATAACCAATCTCTACGAGTAATCTACCTCCATGCATCAGCGAGCTGCAGCTCGCTGCTTGGATCTCCGACACCATGGAATTACTACTAGAGATCAACGGTCTTCCTTGGCAGTGACAATAGGCGCAGTGAGAGCCGCTTTCGGATTTTACTACTAAGAATCCTTCGCGGATGGAGTTAAAAAGACAAGTTGCAAAGGATACCTGAGTGATTGCCAGTTACCTGCTCCTTTGAAATCATGGCCTCATATGTAGCGCGTCGTTTTCTTCGAAAATACCTTACAATAATAGGCAACTCATTACGCATAAAAACGGTCATAAGTTACCAGATTAACTCCGGTACTAGTATAGAAGAGAAAGCCACAAACATTATTGTTTTTTTCCACTCAAGCAGTTTTCGAAGTGCCTCGCGGAGTTCCATTCCGCAGCAAGCCGTGCTATTTTGGCACTAAGCCGCTGGAAAAAGTTTATCAAAACGGAGCGAACTCGCGCAATAGCACGCAACAATAAAAGAACACACTTTAACCTCTCACATTTTCATACCTAATACACTCTTCTAGGGCTAGATAACGACTGCTTAAACAACCACTTCACGCACACTACGAACTACTAATTGAACTGAGACCACCATAACCAAGTTGATTCGCATGTACCACATTTACTTGACACGCCCTAAACCTCATACGCGCAGCTTCGGACATGTCGCAGCGACAACTAGGCGAACATTGCAAAATGACTGCAAAACACTTATGCATCTTTCTTTTCCCAATGCAACCGTACGACGTGTGAACGAACGTCACTCAGAAAGAGGGAGCAAGCTTTCGAAAACTGACAATATCTTTATTGATCGCTCGAAGTTCAGCAAAAGGTAGTAAAAAATTATTTGAAACGGCGACACGACGGTTGATTCCTTTGTACTGACGAAAGGCAGGTTTAGGACTGCAATGTCACCATCAGTGCCCCTGCAAGATACGTAAAGTTAGAGCGCATAACTGTTGGATGTTCATTAATTCGATTATTTGCGTCAGTATAAAGAGAACAGCACTTGGTCAGACGAAAGATGGTGTTGCACATCATTCAAAAGAATTGCGGTTTTCGAAAAAAGTACGATACTCACCAGCCGGGAAAGACCGATTGTCCGGCGTGTTCCTGAAACAATAAAATTGCGAGACATAGGATTACAAAACCTATTTAAGTTTTAAATTGAACTAAATTTCAGAATGGTTTGCGGTGAAACACCTTGCTGAAATAGTAGTCTGAATTGGGTTTTCCCCCGTTTAAGGGTAACGCCATCGCACTTAGCACAGCGAGTCGAAAGGGAGTCTCAAATGCAACGCAACCCGTCTCAGCCATAAAGGCATCTTCGACGTCTCACCGATTACGTGGGAAAAATTACGAGCATAGACATTTCTGGTACCCTCACGCGCTCTTAGGGCACTTCCCGTTTCGGGAATTACCAATGACCTGATCTCAGACCTTCCCAGGAGCTCGCATGGGCAGACGGACCCGTTTATGGCTCCTCTGACGTTCTTTTCACCAAGGCGATGCAGCAAACACTTCATCACAAATCTTTCACCAAAACAATCAAAAATTAAAAGCTCACATACACTGCATTAAGGAATTCCAACGCTCAAGCAACTGGCCACACCAACAATCAACGGGCTAGCCATCGAATGCAACCTGGAATAGACATTCACCTTAATATACCTTTACTTAACGAAAAGTAAACACCGTACACCTCATTGCCTACGTGTCACGGATTCATACGGTGAGCCGTAGAACAGAAACTCAGGTTGGGCAAGATTGTAGAAGGTAAGCTAATCTAATACGTACTGATAATTTCATTTGTATTTCCTTTGTATGAAACGGCTTGACTTCTGCTATTAATAATTGGCTTGCCTGGGAGCACACAACAAAAACCCTACCAACCGAGATGCTGAGTAATTTACTAGCAAAAGCATCCGCGGCACTGAACCTGCGGGACAATGCGATAATAAAATAATACCGTATATTAGCCCGTATAAGAGCACACCCGTTCCCATTTCATGGCTGCCGATGATTGGTCCAGTTACCGCGACGTTGATTGCTCAATTGAAAAACAATTCGGATTAGTCAGTTTGCTTTCCATGCTAATCGTCCATTCAATTGAAACTGTCTTGCCTCAACTTCACCGGGAAAACTCAGCAGTTGCCCATCTGCCCGCCTTGTATAGCACTACATAAGCTATGAGAAATGAACTCTATTGAATAGGTTTACTGAACGTCTATTACAACTGTTACATGTAAAACACAGGCGAACAGATTGTATAAGCTCATAAGCATGGTGCGCGAGGCGGAGAACATTAATAGCAGAGACGAAACATTCGTAAGTTGACATCATCTTGGGCGCTGTCGGTTAGTTCAGCCTCTTCTATGCCATCCAACGCGGTTGAGATGGAGCATTTTTGAAAAGACTAACTGTTTCTGCTTTCACTTTGCTCCATGCGATTATTACGAACTCGCACAGTTGCTGGAGCGATGATACACGCATGCGTCCGCCTGCAGTGTAGCTCTTCTGACCATTCGCCATCCATTCCTTTCACTCTTTTTGGATGTAATCTTTAAAGGGCTTATTAATGCACACGTCCAGTGGTTGCAGGAGTGATGTTCGCCTACCAGGAAGTACGGCTGTTTGTGTTTTGCATTTTTTTAAGTGAGATTTTACTCCTTCACCTAGATGACTGCGGAATGAATCCCGTATCAGTAAGCTTCTACTGTTCGCATGTCCTGGCCGTTTCTTCCAAATGTTGTCGATCCATGGCCTCACTCCCTGTTCATCCATCCAACCTTTCTCATGAAAGTGGACAAAAATGCCAGAAGGGAAATCTTCCTTTGGCCTCCTTCTCCTCTTAAATATGACCATTGGATTCAGCTTCATTCCATTAGCTAAGCATGACAGCACCACAGTGAAGTGAGTTTTCTCATGCCCAGTGCTCTTTACTAGTATTCGTTTCTTGCCTTTCCTCTCAACAGTTCTATTCCCGACCATGTCGAAAAAGATTGGCATTGCATCCATTTTATCAATACTGGCCAACAGGAAGACATGTTCCCTTCTCAGATTAGTGACATGCCTGGAAATAGGATTCTGTGAGATTGAAAACTGCTTCATTTCTTGAAGCACTTGCGCTGTTAGAGGTGCAGTGATTGTCAAATGATACACAAAAAATGTTCACGAAACGTACGTTAGACCTACCGCCTGTAGTCATGCAGCTTATGTCCTAAGTGCACAGGCTTTCGTGTTGTGTCTTAGGGCCAGCTCGTTCCCCTTCATGAAACGGTTGCACCAACCAGGAGATGCGGTAAAACCGTAGGATACGTGCTGATTTAAATCGGCCCATTTAATCGCCCGGCCTCTCATGTCATTTCTTGTGACAATGTGGCCGCTATGTCCCTGTTGCTTTACCCACTCTGCCAAATCGTTCTGCAGTTCTGGGCAACGAGCGCTGCCTGATCGTCTTGAATGTTGTTTCTTCGGCAATGTCTTCAATGCTTCTTCCTGATTCTTCCAGTTATGACCATCTTGCGGGTTACGCCATATGTCACGCGGTACCCACTAAGTAGAGCTGAAAAATTCCTTCGTTAAGGAAACGTATTCTTCGTTAGTCACATGGCTGCTTCAGTTGTTACATCAGCGCGATACAAACCGATGCGCGACACACAGGGACAAATTTCGACGAAACATGAAGAAAACAAGTCTGTTCAAACCTTCCCAGTACGTCACTGTTACGTACTAACCAACGAAGCACATTGACCCGGAGGAACAAGTCGTTCATTTTATTCCAAATGCTAAAGCTTAGGTAGCACGCGCCTTCTTTTCATAAACACAAAGCGAATGCAGACGCAAACTGTTCAGCGTTTCGGCGAAACATCGATTCTTTTCATCCCTATTGGTCATTATCAGGTAACGTGTCGCGCTCAGCTTGTCTATCCGATGCAGAAAAGGATGGGAAATCATGGCTCCTGAAGTTTGATGATAACGCTGCGTGACTTGCGTAAGCTCAGTTCTGAGCGCACCGTTCTCATCGATCGAGGTCACGCCGAAGTTCAACAGCCATTTCACACCTTCACAGCTCCGGTTCAAGAGCACCCATCGATTGAGCTGAGCGCACAGTTGTCATCGATCGAGATCACCCCCAGCGTTATCATGAAACTTCAAGAGCCATGATCTTCCATCCTTTTCTGCATCAGACAGACAAGCTCAGCTCGACATGCTAGCTGATGAAGTGAATCGTTGTTTCGCCGAAACGCTGAACGGTTCACGGACAAATAGTCCAGTACAAAATGTCCACGACAAAAATGTCCACGACCAAAAGGTCCACGACAAAAAGGTCCTCGACGAAAAGGTCCACGAGACAAATGGTCCAGGGCAAAAATGTCCATGAGACAAACGGTCCACGGCGAAAATGTCCATTAGACAAATCTTCCACGAGTCTTCAGATCCAGCTAATGCTTTCGTTATTGGGCTTTAATTAACCAGTACTAACAAAGCGCGGCAGAATGGATAATACTGACAAATGAATTATGAAATGCTAAGCAGCAATTGCGCAAGAACCAAGTTTTCAATGCTACGGGCAGATATTTCATTATCGAGTCCTGAGTGACCCTGCCGGATGGTTCGCCTAATCATTTTACACCATTCCGCGCTGGTTAATTAAAGGTCAACAATACAAGCATTAGCTGTATCCGAAGACTCGTGGAAGATTTGTCCAATGGACATTTTCGCCGTGGATTATTTGTCTCATGGACATTTTTGCCCTGGACCATTTGTCTCGTGGACCTTTTTGTCGTGGACATTTTGTACTGGACTATTTGTCCTGGAAGCCGCTAAACAGCTTGCGTCTGCATTCGCTTCGTGTTTATGAAAAGAAGAAGGCGAATGCTTCCTAAGCTACAGCATTTGGAACAGAATGAACGACTTGTTCCTTCGGGACACTGCGCTTCGTTGGTTCGTACGTAACAGAGACGTACTGGGACGGTTTGAACGGACTTGTTTTCTTCATGTTTCGTCGAAATTTGTCCCTGTGAGTCGCGCATCGCCTTGTATCGCGCTGACGTAGCAACTGAAGAAGCCGTGTGACTAACGAAGAATACGTTTCCTTAGCGAAGGAATTTTTCACCTCTACTTAGTGGGTTCCGCGTGCGAACAATGACTCGGAGAAGTTATACGGCCGGATTCAAGTTGCAAGTCATCAAGATGGCGAAGGAAACAAACGATTCAGAGGCAGCAGGAAATATGGCGTGGCCCGCAAGATGGTCATAGACCGGAAGAAGCATTGAAGACATTGCCGAAGAAACAACGCTTAAGAAGCTCAGGCAGTGCTCGTTGGCCAGAAGTGGAGAACGACTTGGCAGAATGGGTAAACCAACAGAGACAAAGCGACGTCATTCTCACAAGAAAGAACGTGAGGCCACGCGATTAAATGGGTACGATTTAAATCAGCATTTATCCTACGGTTTTACCGCATCTCCTGGTTGGTGCAACCGTTTCATGAAGGGGAACGAGCTGGTTCCTAAGACAAAAGAAGAAAGTTGCACAGGAAATGCCTGTGCACTTAGGACATAAGCTGCGCGACTTCCGGCGGTATGTCTGACGTAAGTTATGTGAAGATGCCTTGTCTATCATTTGACGATCAGTACACGTCTAACATTGCAAGCGCTTAAAGAAATGAAGCAGTTTTCAATCTCACAGAATCCTATTTCCAGAGATGTCACCAATCTGTAGAGGAAATGTGACTTCCCGTTGATCAGTATTGGTAACATGAGTGTTGGGAACATGCTGTGCACTCGCCCAACGTAGTAAATCAGAACGATGTAGATGTCTTTACTCGTTTCACCAAAACCAGACACGTAAGAGACACGCAAGACGACTACTTCCCCACGGCTACTGTAGTAAAACGATAATCAGGTCACGTCGGGAAGACATATGCAACTGGACCTGGAACTGGTTCGCAACAAAGGATGAAACGCCAAGATTTTTCGACACGGTTGGGAATAGAACTGTTGAGAGGAAAGGCAAGAAATGAATACTAGTAAAGAGTACTGCGCATGAGAAAACTCACTTCACTGTGGTGCTGTCATGCTTAGCTAATGGAATGAGGCTGAATCCAATGGCCATGTTTAAGAGGAGAAGGAGGCCAAAGGAAGATTTCCCTTCTGGCGTTTTTGTCCACTTTCATGAGAAAGGCTGGATGGATGAACCGGGAGTGAGGCTATGGATCGACAGCATTTGGAAGAAACGCTCAGGCCATACGAGCAGTAGAAGCTTACTGGTATGGGATTCATTTTGCGGTCATGTAACTGAAGGACTAAAATTTCACTTAGAAGAATGCAAAACAGAAACCGTCGTAATTCCTGCTGGGCTAAGATGACTCCTGCAACCACTGGACGTGTGCATTAATAAGCCCTTTAAGGATTACGCGCGAGAAGAGTGGAGGGTACGAATGGCGAATGGTCAGAAGAGCTACACTGCAGGCAGACGCGTGCGAGCAGCATGCCTCCAGCAG